ACTTCCCACACACACCTGCACGCACGCACACTCCGACACAGTTCAAATTTACTCCCTGCGGTCACACTATCGCACTTCGCGCTGCGGTCTTACTTCCAGCTGATTAGGTATCGATAGATATCGAATCAAGAAGCTTGCCGAAAGTACCGTTAATTCACCACAGCACTGAAAAAATTGCTTAGGAAATAAAACTATTTATCGAAATTTCTATACACAAATCATTTTTGGATCTGGGAATTATGAAATTAATATTCGTTTAGCGTGTAAACTTTCCCAAGTTAAAAATTGAAATGCTAAAAAAAATGTAGCTTGTCGCTTTTTAATTACATACGTTTTTATTTTGGTTTTATCTTGAACTTTCTTACACTGCAGTTACATAGAGACGGTTGTCCGCCAAAGCGTCTAAGTTTAAAAAGAGTAAACACACCGAGATATATAGAGGGACACATGTACATCTAGCAAAAAGCCATTGAAAGCGTCCATAATTTACGTCTACAGTTAAAGGGTTCTTTCTTTTAAATTTGTCCTAGCTGGAAAATTGACAGTGGCTCGTCGCTCATTTCCGCTTGGGAAGCTTGTAGTCGGTCGGCGGGTGCAGCTTCAAGTGGTCCAGGAACACGGGCTGCATGTCCGCCCGCCACGAGATCTCCTCGCGAGCCCTTACAGGTCCGTCCTTGCAGGTCAACCAGTATGTGCTCATCAGGCCCTTGCCCTAAAAATTAAAGGTTTTTTAGAATCCAGTAAAAATAATAACATTTATGATAAAATGATTTTAAATCAGTGGTCGGCAGCGGCCTATCTAGTGAGCATAGGGAAGTGTTCTGCCCATCCTCTGCTCGCTCACGTATAACGTACATGTTCGTGTGACTTCGGCATGGGTCTTCGGGTCATTTTTGTCTCAACTTCGGCAGAGGATCTCAGTGCAAAGCAGAGAAACGTCTCGCTTCAGCACGCCGCGCGCAAACTTCGTGTTTGTTACACTCACACTAATGCAAGGCAAACTTGTGATGGTATGCGTGTGCCGACCACTGTTTTAAATCAATGAAATTTGAAGGTTTCTAATTCTAATTTTATTATACAGATTCGTTTAGTGCGAAAATCAGAAAAATTATTGGGGTTCTACTGCTACATATCAACACCATCGATGGAAATGACCCAAATCCATGACAAAAGTCCAGAAAAAATTCAGCATGAATAAATTGAGATCGAACGTTCTTAAAATGTACTAAATCGTACTTAAAAAATTGAGAACGAAAGTTCTTAAAATATAAAGCATTTGTACTTAAATTTAAAATGCAATCAGAAGTTACGAATTTCCATGGTGCATGATGCAATAAAATGCAATCAGAAGTTACGAATTTCCATGGTGGTTCAGATGTTCGTCCGGACAATAATGACATTCTTTATGGAAAGCTCCCGAAGGTTCACTGCGACACGTCCTTTAAAGTATTTTCAATGGTTTCTTTTTAAATTCTTCTATTTTGTTTATCTCTTATTATTATTTTTTAAACGGTAAGTAAAAAGGTTTAGATCAGAATACATTAAATTTATAATGTTATTTTTAAAAGAATTTGGCGAATATTAGTTGGGATTCATACAGAGACTTCTAACATTCCTTGGCTTAAACATACAATTTCAAGATCTTCTTGAACATTATACCTTGACATCGAGGAGGCCGCGATGCTCGGTCCGGAATCCGCCCACCTGTTGCAGCGAGTTGTGCATCTCCTCGGTGATATGTATCTTCTGGGCCTCGCCGGTGCTCTCCATGCGCGAGGCCGTGTTCACCGTGTCGCCGAAGAGGCAGTAGCGCGGCATCTTGGTGCCCACTATGCCGGCGACCACCGGACCCGTGTGGACTCCACACCGGATCTGGACGAACTCGTCTCCCGCCCGGGGGATCCGGAAGAGCGACGAGGCGTCCAGCAAATCAAGCGCCATTGTTGCTATCTCGCTGATGTGCTTGTTCCCTGCGGAGGCAGCGGTTTGGAAAGTTCCATGGCATAAATTACGCGCATGGCCACAAACGAAATTTAAATTAGCGCAAATCTTTTTGGGGCACTCAAGCAGCGGGGGCGGTGCAGGGGGCGGGGTTAAATGACTGACTGACTGACAGCTGAATTTGCATAAATTACCGTTCTTCACCGGCAGTCCAGAAGCCACCATATATGAGTCTCCAATTGTCTCGACTTTATAGACGTCGTAGCACTCGGGTTAAAAATAGATATAAATTTAAAAAGTATAAACATAATTGTCAATATAATTTATTATAATGTCTTATTCTATTCGAAGAATATACCCGAAAAGTTGATATAACTTGAAACTACCACTGAAAATGCCTAAAAATTTTGGATTTAACAGGCATTTGAAAATGTTTAAAATCCTCTGAAAATTTGTTTATAAAAAACTTACCTCGATGCGCTCGTCGAACACCCGGTAAATTGAATTCAGGAAAGTTACCACCTGTAGAAAAGATTTAGGAAGAGTTTAAAAACTCCAAAGTTAGTGATTGCTATGAAAGTAGCCCCAAGTGTTTCTACACAGATAAACGTATTTAAGTTGGTAGAGATTCTGGGGAAGTAGTTACAAAATACATTATATATTTAAAAAAACAAATCACATTTATATAAGACTCATAAAAACATACAATGTTTTTGAAAAGTAATGAGAAATACAAAATCCACATAAAAAGACACATTAAACTAATCTCTTAACCAGAATAATTACCTCCAGTGGAGTACAATCCGCGGCTATTTCAGTGAAACCCACGATGTCACTGAAGTAAATGGTAACTGCCTCGTAGAGCTCGGCGGGCACCTGTCAGGGATTCAATTAGACCTGCCTAATTCCCACCCACACCCGGACTCACCTGCTGGGTCTGTTTCAACTGCATGGCGACACTTGGGGGCAGCATTTGGAAGAGCAGCGAGTCGCTTTTCCGCTTCTCCCGCTTAAGCTCCTTGGCCTTCTGGGAAAGATTCAGGGCATAATGCTATGGGAAGGGGAAAGAGATGAGTCGAATGTGGTCAGATATGGTGGCTAGGGTAGAACCTGTATCGTTGCCGCGGCATTCTTCACCAGGACGATGATGACCGGCGACACCAGGAGCACCACAACCAGAATGGCAATGCCAATGGCCTCTTTTCGGTCAGCCTCCACCAGGGTCTTGTCCACATACTCCCTTAATAACAATAGATGAAATACGTGTCAAATGATATATATAACCTCCATACTTGATCAGTCGTCGCAGAGCCTTCTGAAGAATTCTCAGATCATCAGTATAATTGTTCATCAGTTCGTAGTATTCAATGGCACTGCGTTCGTTCGAAACATTCGGATTATTCTTAATCAGGGTGGAGCCCCTGTGAAAGAACCCTGTATAAGAATTAATATTAAGAAAATACCCCATCGTACACACATTTGTTTGGCCCGATGAAACCTCTTGGTGCTGGTGATATTGGTGTACATATTCCTTAGCATGGGAGCGTAGTTTAAGGTGGAGTTTATCATTTCTCGAGCCATGAATTCGTATCGGACGTAGGACACAAAATTCTCAGCTGTCAAGGACCCTCGTCCGTAGTACCTGATGCCAAAGGAAGTTGCGATGTTCTGGCACTCAATGCTCTTGAGGAGGTTCTTGAATCCCACCAGATAACTATCATGTTTATCACAAATTACGTTTATAATCAAATACAATTTAATTGGGAATACCATGTCGAGAACTCTCTACTCACCGCCAAACGCCGCTGTTGTCTGTCTCTTTGATCTGCTCATTGAGGTGATGGAGCAATCCCCGGTTGATGGATGTGTACCAGTTCATCACCTCAGTGATCGAGCTCTCCTCCGGTTCCAAACGCACCCGATCCCTGAACTCATTCAGTCGGCTCTGGAACTCGTATCGGTTCAACATCATCTCCCGATCGTCCTCATCCTCGTCCGGAGCTGTAGGAACACTGATCTCACTCCAGGTGGTCATGTTGTTCAGGGCATGGTCCGTATTTGCAAATCTCAAAGTAAGGTTGGCCCTGTTCGGGAAGTAAAAGATACGGCTAAAGTCCTTTAATGCATGTGAAGGAGTACTAACCGCTGTTTGCTGCCGTTTGTGAAGATGTAGAAGGCTACTTCAGAGCGTTCCAGCTGAAGCCGAGTAACTACTTTTCCTAAGTCAGTGGCAATAGTAACCTATATTAAATAAAATAATTTAGAGAGATCAATAAAAATAAAATAAAAGTCTGAAGAATTACGAATACGATACATTAAAATGGAATTTTAAGTAATTTTGAAAAAGTTTTTAGAGACCGCTCTAGTTTAATAACAATTAAAAACCCTTTCCATTATAAATAGATTAAACAATTTTAAGTGGTTTCTCATAAGCAAACTGTAATTCAAACAGAAATGCAACGACTCATATACTTATATTTTTACAAGGCCTAGTGAAACCATAAGTTGTTAGAATCCTTAAATTCTACGAACTGAAATATAAGTACTTTTACTTATGTCAGCTTAGGTCATTAAAAAGTTGGTAAACAACTATTTGAAGAAAGGGATTTAATAGCCTTAAATGATATGTTATCTTAGCTTTTCTTTTCGTTTGTTGCTTAAAGTTATTTTATAAATTACGTATACGACGAGTGGAACTCTTTGGTAGATTAAAAGATCTAATTATTTTATAAGTAGGTTTCCAATCATTATACGAACAATGAAAAAATAAGATGACTCAAGCTAATGGCTTGTTCATAAATCGTCTATTTTATAGCATTTGGTTCAGCATTTGGGGAATCCCGTAGAATAAGGGGATTACTAATCTGCTGAGCCCTTTTAGTGGGGCGATCATTGTGAGTTTCTGATAAGCAGCTCTAGTAGTGAAATTGATAACAAGATAACCTGAAACACGCGTACACTCAATACACTACGAACCCTTATCAGAAGGCAGACTTATCGCTGCCCCCAGCTGGTTAGCCATATAAAAGAGTCCGGTGGTCAACTGTGGGCCAGTTACTCAAGATGTTTTGGCCCAAGTTAGTTTGTTTCGCATTGGTCGCCTTGGCCTATGGCCAACTTTATCAGGTGGCCGGCGAGGAAACCATCGTCGTCTGTCCCACCAATTTCACCCAGGTGGCGGACAAGTGCCTCCTGGTGGACACCAAATGGAGGAACTTTTACGAGTCGGACCGCTACTGTCGATCGCTCAACGCCGGACTCCTGAGCATTAAGAACTCTATTGAGCTGAATGCCATCAACGAATGGCTGCCGGTCATTGCTCCCTATCAACCGGAGCTTTGGACCGCCGGCAATAAGCTGGGCGAGACCAGAGGCGATTACTACTGGCAGAGCACAGGAGAGCAGGCCCTGTATCTTCCCTGGCAAGCGGGGCAGCCCACGCCCGCCAGCGGAGATTGCCTCACTTTGCTGGCCAACGTCACCATGACCACTGAAGAAGTCTTTTTGAGTGCCCACCGCCTGGCCGTGAAGAACTGCACCCAATGGGCACCACTCATCTGCCAGGTTCCGCTGCAATATTTCAAGACCCAGCTATGTCTCAACACTTCTGCTTTCTTCGAGGCCAAGATACCCGCTTAAGTCAACAAAGAAGTAAAGATTATTATTTTAAGTTGTTGTTTAGTGGGCTTACAATAAATTAATCTAGATCATTTGAAAAAATTATAGCATATCCGCATTTTCGTGCATACTGGAATTATTCTAATATATAAAAGTCAATTATTAGATTTTAAAATACTATATTATTTTTACTTTCGGTTGACTTGCTAATAAAAATTCATAAAATTACATAAATTTATTTTATTGATCTACTTGAATAACAAAATTAGTTTATAACAACGGATAATGACTTATTAGTAATATTGGCTTAGGTATAACAAAATAATAAATGTTTGATAAACTTACTACCTCTTACTACCCATAAAAAGCTTTTGATAACCTTAAAAACATTTTTCAATGAGTAATCTTATCACTTGGGATTTAAAAACTTTAATAACCCTCATGTTGGTAATATTGATTAGACATTTTAATGCTTTTAATATTTTATCAAATTTATGAATGCCTTAAAAATGTTTCTTTGGGTAACCTTATTATTTCTGATTTAATAACTTCAATGTAAATAGTATTAATAATATTGATACAACTTTTTTATTGTTCGTCCTACTTTTTTATAGAATTCTGGTACCACTTATGTATTTCAAAATTCCATAAGTACAAAATCAAAAGCAATCCCATTATGTGATCATTGGAAAGTTCTCCCATCGATGACTTCTTTCTTTTCCCTTGATTTGTTTATAGTGTGCTTTGCATTCTAAGTACGTGCCCCTATTCAAGGACCATCCTCCCACTTTCACCACTTTCCACCAGCTATCCTTCACTGGCGACTGTCGCTGCATATTTCGCATTGCGTCCTTATCAATTCACTTTGGCCTCCTCCCCAACCCCCTTTTGGCTCATATAGGTACGTTCAATATTTTTCATTCTCTTTCATATTTTCTTGCGAGGACTCAGCATTTGCATTATGGATAGATGAAGTGGGCGGCTGGGGGATGTGGGCAGCAGGACCCAGTTGAGTGCCTGGCCACGAGCTCGTGCTCCGGAACCCTTCACGGGGACTTGGACGCACTTACCTGAGCAAACAGACGGACCCAAGGTTTCTCGGGATGGTCAAGTGAACATTGACCATCGGGGAGGGAGTCTGCCCCTCTCGTCTACTTGGCGTTTGATTGAATCGCTGTAATAAATTTTAATTACGCCTCAAAGACACAATTTCCGGGGCGCATTCGCTTTGTTTGCTACTTTTCACCGACGCATCCAGTCACTCAAAGCGACCACCCACTTTCCCACTCACCCACCCACCCAACTGCTCACCTGCGTCTCGATGTCGGCCACGGCGGAACGGTACTCCAGGATCTCTTGCAGTGTCACCGATGTTTGCACAATCAACGCCAATATTGGTATAAATGGTAGTATTATCATCTGGAAATGGATTCGCATGTCAATGAGTGAGTTCTTGCTTACAGTGGGCGAGGTATTTCAGGAAATCGAATTGTTTTCTCGCCTTCAATTAAATTAATTAACTATTTAAGTAATAAGCAAACTTTATAATTTAAATGTCGAATTTGATTTCGCCTAAGATATTATTTCACATACCTATTCTATTTCTATTGAATATATTGAATCGCTTTGCTTTGCTATCTTATCTGTCTAAAAAAAGGAAACAAAATTAAATCGTTTGGAAAGACAAATTCCTTTTCTCAACGCAAAATTAATGGAGTCTTCATCACTCGGATTCAGTGGGAGATTCGATCTGAGAAGTCTGTCAAAGAAGAGTAGGCGAACTTTTTGCTGTCAGTTTCGTTTTGTCAATCGACATTCAATCAGAATATTCCCTTAAGATAGGCGTTTTCAGTCCGAAAAAAATAGCATGGCAATAAGAAACTTAATTTTTCCGAAACATCAATAAACTCAGTACCAAAAGTTAACATGACATTGTGAAATCGAGCCCTATATTTTCTAATTTATTTAATTAATCGTACTTATGGTATACCATAACTTGGAGCATTTAAAAGGTAAGGATTTCTAGGCTTTAAATGGAATTCCACATAAAGTTCAAAGGACTGGTAGTTTGCCCCTGACCCACTGTGCCATATATTCTCATTTGCCATCAATATGTGCTCCGTGGAGCAAGAGCCCGGACCAATCTCGGCGTTATCTGCGGCTGATTGCAAAGGAGGTACCGGTGGCAAAGGCGGCAAAGGGGGCGTGATTAGTCTTTATCGTGGCCCGCTAATCGCGACATTCATTAGCCGCACTCTGTGGATGCCGCGGCACGTGACTCTGACCAGTCGTCCTAATTAAGATGCATGCGCTGCTGCTAATTTATGCTGCTCCGGATAAGTTTGTTTTTCGCACCTGTAGAGCAATTTCGCCAAGTTCCCGGGGAAGACTCACCTGCATCAGCTGCAGGCGCCGACCCGTTTTTATGGCCGGGTTACGGGCGGCGGCGTTGCAACACCTTCCAGTGCCGCCACTCGATATATCCTCGGAACTAATCGAGCGCACGGAAATTTTATCGAGCTGCAGATTGTGATGTGTGGGCACCAGGAGCAGGCCCCCTTCGCCGGATGGGCTCCCCTGCCCGGGGGCCATTCGCGACTCTATCGGGTGGTTCGATTGGCAAGCGCTAATGTCGATCTTAACGCTGGGGGTCGGCTTTCTGCCGCTCACAGCCCCACTGCCGCCCGCTGGGCAGGGGCAAGGGTCAGGGTTATCTCCGGACTTGTGCGCTTTTCCATTTAGCATATTGCCAATTGTTCAGGCGAGGATGTGGAGAGCCAGTGCCTCATAAACACGATGGCTGCACTGAGAGAATCTGTCAGGCGAAAGGGTTTAATTCGACAGGGTTCAAGGTATAAGATAGAAATTACGCATGGAACCCTAATTAATATACAACACTGTATCCTTGGCTTAAGTCTAAAAGCTATAGCTTTTAACCTCTCAATTTCCATTCTGTTTCCATGTATTTTAAGCAACATGCTTGTTAACATGCGGACGGAAAAAGGGGTCTTAGTTTTTCTTTATAAATACATAAAACGTGTATAATATAATGATAGTAAAGGCTGTATAGAGCTTTTAACATGGGAAAGTTATTTGCAAACACTTTAAGTAATGTTGTAGTACATAACACCGGTTCCCTAAGCTTCAAGTGATTAAATTTATATTTTAAATTGTAAAATATGAAAAAAATGTAGGGGCATTAAACCTAAAACAGCAAACAAAGCAGAGGTATGTGGTGTGGTTTTTCTCAGTGCACTGGAAGTGCAAATGTGCGGACTGTACATAATTGTTGCGTGTTCAATTTGTATCTGATAGTTTCACTCCGGCGACACTTGTTGAGTTTCAATGGGGCCGTAATGAGGAGGGCTCGTAGAATAATTGCGAAAAATAGCAGATAAGCACATATGGGTGGCCGGACCACGCCCCCACCCCGTGGCCGCCCATTCGCTGGCCGCCAAACAAATGTCAGGACGACAGGACGACAGGACGTCAGGACGTCAGGACGACGGAGGACGACAAATTTGATGGATGAGCAGCCAAGCAACCAAGCGTTGCCAACAGAAGGGTGGGAGTTTAGCAAAGGGGTTGGGGCTTTGAGTTTAATTGAAAGCACATTTGATTGCTGCTCCCCAGGCGGAACCCGGGCGGACCCCGCTTTTCGCCCAGTGTAGTGCCAAAGTAAACAATTTGCGCAATGGCCTGCGTTTTGTATCTATGTGGACACATATCCTTTATCCTCTGCTGTTTCCATTGCCGCAATGTCCGCTGGTTGGTTTACTTTTCACACTTATCATGAGCACATTTATTGATTAAAGTTTTAATTGCCTACACTTGGAAAGAATTGAGAAACTGGAAGTTAAGTTAATTTTTATATTTCACAGCTGTAACTTATTGCAATTTATATTTGCGGCGCACTTCCAATCAATTGCCCAGCACGCACATAAAAAGTTTCTTTAATTCTTGTTGCACAAAGCCACGCATTAAATTCCCACACAACAATGGCAAAAAATTCAATTATCTATTAGCGACAAGTGCGAGGAATGTGTGGTTAGGCCCCTCACAATGTGAGTTTTCCGTACGTGGGAGTTTTCCCTGCGCTCGCCGTACTTTTCCCTTCGGTTTCCGCGATTGAATGCTAGGAGCGACCAGAGCCAACTGAGCTTAAACCTGTTGAGTTTCGTCTGTTTATAGCGAAGGTCCTGTGGGACCGAAGTTCACCCACATCCTCCCCCTCAAAGGACTGCGCACACGGGACTCTGTTATCCCGATGTAAACTTTTATAAGCTACAATCTGTTCCCACAGAATGGGTGGCTTTTATTGCTTTGTTACATGTTTTGTTCATTTTCGGGGATGCCACAGCTATCATTAATGGCCCGAATTCACAAATTAAATTGCTTAAGTATACTCGCTAATATGTTTTCATTAGCTTTATCGAAATTTGTTTTTTTAAATTGTAATTGGCATCTGAAGAAGCGATCGTGTGATGACTTTACCCTTATAAATAATGTCTTTTTTCATCAGGTCTATTAGGCGTATTTCTAATCAAACTCAGCTCATTGATTTAGACTCTAAATTTTAGAGTTTTACCCTTGAAACCACTGAAGTGTTCTTTGAAAAATATCAGTATTCTCGTTTGATTGTTTTGTTTTTTATTAAAATTACAAAGAAAACCAATTAAGTTTCTACATGTTACTTACATCGGTGTACTATGTTACTTGTTGTTAGCCATGACTCGAACCTCATGTAAAATGAATGTATACAACATGTAGAATTCACTTCTTGGCTACTTGAACTGCTAAATTAGGGGTTTCTTCGATTTCGAATGCTAACAAAATTTAAAAATGGAATTTCCAGGTCACTTTTGACAGTGATTTACAAGATAGCGGATACAAAATGCATTTAAAATATATAAAAGCCATTAAATAAAAAATTTGAATTAAGATAAATGGATTTTAGATAGAAAGTTTTATTCAAAATCTTACTCGTTGCAGTAAGAAACTGTTACTAACAACTAAGGGAATCGGCTTGGCAACTGAAAATTGCTTACATTACATATTAAATAAGGGAAATATTAAGACAAGTATCAACAATATGACTTATAAACAGGGAAACTAAATAATTGAAATTTGAATAATTGGTGAAACACATGAGAATAATAGAAATAACACGCGTTTTCAAATCGCCAAAGAAGCACATCGGTAAAGTGAGAGCCCAAAAAAATGGCACCTAATATTTTTTGTGTTTTATTTTTTGTGTAAGGTGTAGACTGATATATCAAATTTCTTTTTTTTTTCCAGAGTTCTCATGAAAATTTTTTTTAATCTATAAATGTTTTAAAAAGTATACATCGATGGTTGCTAAAAAATTGTATTCGCTTTTGAACTGTGTTTACCAAAAGGTCCCATACGCAAGGATTCTGAATTACCTCAAAGTTGAAAAAATGCTGTTTTTGAACCGCAGTTACAGGCGAATGGATTATTTGCTTTTAGTTTGTTAAAAACAATTGAAAAATGACACTCTTTTTCTTTCAAACCACATACTCGAAATAATTTTGGTTTTTTTAAGGGAGATATAATCGAAAGAAGTCGTCAATGAAATACATCTTATCAGGATTGACCTTTCTTGATTTTAATCACGAATTGGATATTGGATTGGTTGTGGCACAACTATTGTTTTGCCCGCACTGTGTGTCTTCTTTTGTTTATAACTCCGTTTGGGGCTTAAAAGATAAAGAGTAATTGCGGTTTAAAATAAGCAAAAACAGCATTTTTTAAACTTTGAACACACTTTAAAATGGGGATTCAAAGCGCATAAGATTTTCTAACAGCCATCGAGGTAAAGAACGGTTACATTTTCTAACACAGTGATATTTCTATTATCTTTAGTAAAGTTGTATTTATGAATGGCACATTTGGAGAAATTTAATTTTTGAGTCCCCCTTCAATTCGCAGTTCATAATTAATCGGTTCTAAACAAATATTTTGAAATTGTACCTACCCTCCAATCAATGGAATTCATATTTCCCCGGCTAGTCGTTAGTAGCCCAGAACACCCCAGATCGGGAAGACTTTATTTAGATACCGGGCGGCATAAATCGTACTTTGGCAACTCTGAGCGTTCCCATTGTCCCGCCTCTTCGGGCCGCGGCCATGAGATCATCCAGCCGAATCGGCATTATGCCCGCCTCGAGCTGGCGACTTTCCAAACGAAAAAGAAACAGCCGGGCATTTGCATAACTAGCTGTAAAATTGTTGGAAATTAACAGCGCAAGCGGCGAGCGATTGGCTGGATCCGAGGGTTCGAATCGGAATCCGCAAAAGCCGGCGATCCGACGATCTGGGGAGAAGAGAAGAAACCTGTTCTAGGCGCTGGGGAATAAAAACAAAACCGAAAATGAGGAGGCACTGCTGTTGGTCCCACCAATGGACCACCTTGATGGCCCCGTCCCAGCCCATCTCCCCATCTCGCAGTTCCATTACCATCGCCATATCTATATCTCCTCCCGGGGAACACAATTGGATCGGGTAACTTTGAACTGGTCGGGTGTCGTCCGCTATGGTGTCCAAATTGATGTTTCAATAAAGCCAATAAATTTATGACTAACGAACCAAGTAAACATTCTCCCATGCCGATTGCCCGTTTCCATTCCGGTTGACAAAGTCGGTGGGTCGAGGAGCAGGATGGGGGATCCGGCACTGGAGATGGAGATGGTCGAGGTGTAACGGTGACAACGAGTAGGTGTCGCCATTGGTGCCACTATGAATTAATTTGGACAATTTATGAGCCAATCTCCCCGGCCAACAACTGGCTAGGAATGTGTTTAGCGGCCACCACGGTGGTCGCTTGTCTTTTCGTAAATTGAATTATAATTTGATACCCGACTCTGGGGCTCCCCAACTCCTTGGCTCACCATCTCACCATCGCCATCTGGGGGTTCCGATCGCCCCGGCATATATTACCGATTGATCGGGCCACATAAATCTGACACTAGCGACACAATTAGCACGGCTT